TTCCACAGCTCTTAGGCTCACAACTGGAGGTGAGCAGCCTTCCTACCATTCCACCTAAAGAGTTAAATATATCCAAGATTCCCTTTTATATTCTCGAAGAATGATACCTTCCACTATCAATTTACAAGTGCCCACAAGCATGCTACTCCCATTTAGACCTCCACACTCCTGTCAAGTTGCTTTTGGAATCTCTGCAGCCATCAGTCTTTCTCTAGTCTCATTATAACACCCAACCAACCAGGTTGGCAAGTCTTGAGTACCCACTGCAAGTGGCAAGTCAGCCTGTATTTCTGGGGTTAAGTGCTAAACTCTGCCTTTGGGGCAAAAGTCAAGTGTAATTTAAAATCACTCATGAAACTCCCTTGGCTGGGACCTGGGCCCTTGAAAACTGAAAAACCAAGAATTAACTTCTTAAGTCTCCTGGCATTATTGCCATAGCTTCCCCTTCCCTGGGGGCAGTAGAAACCAAGGACTGAGCAAGGAAGGGCAAAGGGTTAAATAAAGGGATTTCTTCCTCTTTACTCTCAGGAGAAAGAGTTGATTTCACAAGTTAAACTGAGTATATGATACGACTCCACTGTGTTTGCAAGGCATATGCTAGGTGTTTATCAGGCAAAGAAATGAGCATGAAGCCCCGGCCTCACAGAACCTATAATCCAGTTGGAGGAGATTAGATCACCTCTTGAAGATGATGAATAACAGTCCAGCACAAGCCATCAGAACCATCAGACACAGGTTCTATCGACATCCAAGGAAGAAGAAATTGATGGGCAATTTAAACTGGTTCTTGAGATACACGTATATATGTTCCTAAAAAGTTCATCAGTGTTTCAGGCACAACTGGCCTTGTCATCGAAGTGTATGATAGTATTTTATTTTGTCTCGCTGTCTCTCTCAAAAATGCCAAATAGTTCACTGGCCTCATTCAGTCATATGTGGAGCCAAAGTCCTCAGGTGCCACAGTTCTAGTACTATTTAGTTTTGAAAATTTAAATGAAATCTTCATATATTGTTATACCAAAAGTCTATACAACTAAGAACACAGAATAACCACTTCTTTTTAATAGAGTAGAAGCATCTTTTTGTGAGCATTTTACCCTGATTTTCCTGACAAAGCATTTATATACATACTTTGACACTTTTTTCCAAATCCTGGCATTACTTGGATGTCTCATACCAGCCTGTGTTAAAATTAAACTTGTCTATTTCTGCTTTCTTGCAGACTCCTAAGATTTCCCTGCCCTTTTTGGCTTTTTCTGCACTCTTAGGATTCAAGGTGACCCAGCAATCCTTGGAAGATGGCCCTAGGCTACTTGGCACTCTGATGGATTAAATGAATGCCAGGAAGCAAGTGCTTAGGTACACATCCTGAATACAGCTCTGATCTCTGGCTTGCTACAGTCACACATCACTGGACTTTTTGAGAAGGGTTGGGGGAGGGGGGCGGCAAGCAAAGAAGGACCCAGCACTTGATCCAAAGCCAGTTGGAATAAGGGCCAATGGAAAGACAGTCCAGGCACCAATATTTAAATAAACAGCCCTGGCCTATCTATTTGGAAAGCAGGTCAATAAATCAACACAATATAGTGCATTTACAAAATTTAAATGCTTGCCAATTTCTCCAGGTCTGAAGAACATTTGACTTTTCCGTTTAGAGATGGCATAAGCATGAGTCAGAAATACCAAATTCAAATCCAGGTTCTGCTTTAGCACTTCTGAGACTTTGGACAAGACATTCCACAACCTTCAGCTTCAGTTTCTTCAACTGTAAAGAGAGACAGTTGGACTAGATGACCTCTAGCTCAGATTTTTAAAAGATGGGACATCACAAGTCTGAGAAAAATCACTAAACACAACCAAGTCAGAACAGAAGAGACAGTGAGTATGGGCCTGGAGAACTTCTGGAAGATAGTGGTGATTAAAATCCCCATAAAAGAAGAAAATGAGAGTTGGCAGAAATCCAGAATTGCTTCATGAGATTATCACAGAGGCCTCCTCCTCCTTCTAGGTTCTTCTATGCCCTATGATCATACACAGATCCATCTCTGCCCAGAAGAGTTAAGAGTGGTGATTCATAGGATGGATATACTCACAGTCATCATTACATACTTTCTACCTTTGGAAATGACTCAACCTTGACTACCTAAAAGAAAATGAAAGACTAAGTTGCTCAGACCCTGACCTCAGTCACTCAGCCGCCCATCTAATAATCTTTCAGTGTCCAAAACTTCTTTAATATACAGCCTAAAAACCTGGATAATGTTTTATGGTACCTAGTTCAGTTTTACAGTTTCCACAGCTTTAGGAACACCCAACATGCTTTGAGGCTCTCAGACACAGCATTATTCTGCTATAAAAGCTTTTGAAGATGTTAGTAAATGCTTAAATGGCATTGTAGAAAATTTAAGCCACAAAAATCTATGATGGTTTTTTGATGATAGTTATCTTTATCTGGTATTCCCACACATCTTTGATATTGTACTTCTCCTGCCTCATAGTCCCTTAGCCATTAAATGGACTCTTGTTATAGTCTAATTAAGACCTATTAAAGTTAAGTTGCTCTGAACTTAACTTTTATAAGGGTTTAAAAATGTGACTGAGAGTTTAAAATGTCAATTACCCAAACAACAACCTTTAGCTTTACTCTTAGGCAGTCTTAGAATCACATAATGTTTAAAACATCTTATACAGTACTTGACACACAGTAGGTACACGAGTACTGCTTTTTAAATTTCTCATCATTAACAGTCACCGTTTAGTCAACAAGTACCCATTCCAGGCAGGCATTAAGCACTTTGCATGGTACCTCTTAATCCTCTCAACAACCCCAGTAATATCTCCATTTTACAGATTAAAAAAATCAAGGCTCAAAGTAAATTAACAGCTGCTAAAATGCTAAGAAGAAATCTGATCTTGAGTTTCTCTCCCACCAGTTCCCTGCTTTACCCTAGAGTTCAGGACAAGAAGTTGGACCAAAAGTTGTGGTCTTAACCCTACCGACGCTGTCTTTTACACCTGCATTCTTTACAACTGATGTGACATGGCCTGTGTGTGCTGGTTCTCCTGGGAGGACTAATGCTATTCCTAAAAGCAAGGGGGGGGTATCAGCATTTGACTTAAATGGGCCCCCAAGAATGTGATTACTGTCTTCTGGCTCTAGGAAAAGATGTAGTTCCCTTCCAAGGGCGTCTCTCCTCATTTGAGGATCTGATCAGTTACTCCCCCATCAGCCCTTAACAAGAGCATTTCTAGAAGGCATCAGACCCCAGGATCAGGCTTATTTTCTCCTCACCCCAGGGAAGAGTTGCAGCAGCTCTAATACCAGAGAAGCCCAGCAACAGTAACAAGTTTTAGCAAGCACACTGCTAACCTTCATGACCAGACTCCTGACTGAAGTCACCTTTTACAAATCTCCACTGCAAGGGTATTTCTTGCCCCAGTACTTCCCCTTCACAGTGTTTGCTAGAACAAGTATTTCAAGGAAGCCACCAGTTTCAGTGGGCCTCTGGTGCAGAGTATGCCAACAAGAATGAATTCCCTCTGCTGGCCCACAATCACTTCTGCACTAACAAGCTCCAATTCTCCATGTGGGTGGATGCAGCACATCTACACACTATTCAGAGACGGTAAACGTCACCCATTAACTCAGTTGACAGAATATTTTCCTTTCAGATTTACAGCTTAACAACAATTATTTCTGAAAGGCAGTAGAGCAGCGGCCGGGCCTACAGCTCCAGACCACCAGCCTGGAGCCTCCCTAGTCCCCGCTAATTTCTGTGCTTTATCTAGCAGGTGTTAGAAAAATCTTTAAGATACAGGGGCCTGCAACATTCACAAATTCCAACTCTGTTAACTGCTGAAATCAAGAGGTTTCCTCCAGCTCTAAAATCCCATTTGCCTCTCCTAAACACAAAGTCTTCTCTTCACTGTTGCTGTACTTTGCTTTCTCCGGTCTGTTGGTCCTGGAAGCACCTCAGTTCAACTAAAAGCCTGGGTGGGGAGAGGAAACCTTTTGTTGTTAAGAGTAATTTTCAGTAGCACAGCTCAAGAATGCAATCCCATAGTGATTGAGACGACTGAGAACCAAAATACCTTCTCCAGCCTAAAAGCTCGATCATGTGGGAACCAAACAGTGTTTCAGAAATAACAGGAGAGCTAAGACTGCCGGTTTCCACTTTCCCCTGGGAGGTGCACCGCTACAGTTGGGGGTTGTCACTTTCAAACCTTGTTTGCAAAGTCCGGGCTCAGATCGGACATTTTGCTCCAACCCCTCGGCTGGGCCCGCCCAAAGCAGGGGCCCAGCGGGTCTCCGGTGCAGCCGAGCACTTTGGGGCTGGGCGTGGGGCCGGGCACAACATTCAGAGACATGTTTTCTCAGCTGATATATTCCAGCGAACAGGTGCCTGATTAATTCCATCTTTTTTAAAAAAATTAAAAGCATGTAAAAGTATCTCCTACAGGAGCGGCTGTCTTGCCGGGAAAGTCACGCCAGACACATGAACAGTGACTTTCCAACTTCCTCGGGGCGCGCGAGTCTGCGGGTGCGCCGGTGTTTCGTGAGTTTGGAAAAGGCCTGGACCATCCCGGAACAACACCCCCAGCAACCCCACAGCAGCGATGCCGTGACCCCACACCCCACCCCAGCCCCAAACACACACGTGAAGTTCAGCAAAGCGTGCCACCTGCCGGGGTCTCAGCAAACATGCGGGGAGGGAAGAGCCGACGGAAAGCACTTTGTTTAAAAAAAAAAAAGTCAACCCTCCCGGGGCCCTCGCCCGGCCCCGAGGTTCCCCTCCTTCCCCAGCTGAATGGGAGGAGGCGCCTCGCGGGGCGGGGAGCCGAGCGCGCCGGGCGGTGGGTGCGCCTCGCCCAGCCCGGGCGGGATCCGCGGGCCCCGCTTCTCCCCGGGGACGGCGGAGT